TTTGGAAACTCACAAAAATTTTGAAAAAACCTCAAAAGCCTTCTTCTTCTTCTTCGCATTTCAAGCTTATTGCATATCGCATATTAGCTTATTGCGTGCTCTCAACTTAGTGTTCTAGATGCACTTCCACAGTTATTAATTGAGAGCTTTCGATGCCTGTACCATTTTTGCATTGATATGATTGTGTGGCAAGTCCAATCATACTTCTATGCCCAGGGAAGTCGAGAAATTTTCCAACCCGAAAAATTCCTAGACCGGACCGGGAATCGAACCCAGCCACCTCCAGCATGGTCTTGCTTTGTAGCTGCGCCTTTACCGACTGAGCTAAGGGAAGCCTCAAAAGCCTATTCCAGCGCTTAAAGAAGGTGGTAAAATTTTGATCACAAATTTGGAAAAAGCTCAGAAACTTGCTAAGCAATTCGAGAGTTCCCATAATTTCAGTTTGGGTCTTACTAGTCCTATTGAGAATCAGGTTGCTCGGGATTTTCTGAATATTTTCTCTCGGGAAAATATTTTTGATGATTCCTGGGGGACTGATTTGGACGAAGTAAGGTCTATAACTAAAAATTTTCAAAATATGAAAGCTCCAGGTGATGATGGAATTTTCTATATCCTCATCAAAAAACTCCCAGAGAGTACCTTGTCTTTCTTGGTAAAATTATTTAACAGATGTTTCCATTTGGCATACTTTCCTGATAAATGGAAAAATGCAAAAGTTGTTCCAATTTTGAAGCCGGATAAAAATCCAGCTGAAGCTTCTAGCTACCGTCCAATAAGTTTGCTTTCTTCAATAAGTAAACTTTTTGAAAAGATAATTTTGAATAGAATGATGCTTCACATCAATACGAACTCAATTTTTGCATATGAGCAGTTTGGATTTCGCCATGGGCATTCAACTACTCATCAACTCTTAAGAGTTAACAATTTAATTCGTTCAAACAAATCTGAAGGCCACTCAACTGGAGTTGCTCTTCTAGACATAGAAAAAGCATTCGACAGTGTTTGGCATGAAGGTTTGATTGCTAAATTGAAAAAGTTTAATTTTCCACTTTATATTATGAAATTAGTTCAAAATTATTTAACTGACAGAACTCTTCAAGTAAATTATCAAAATTCCAAATCTAATCGACTACCTGTTAGAGCAGGAGTTCCTCAGGGTAGCATTCTTGGGCCTATATTGTATAACATTTTCACTTCGGACCTCCCTGATTTGCCTCAGGGTTGCCACAAATCTTTGTTCGCTGATGACACAGGCATTTCCGCTAAAGGAAGAAGTCTTCGTGTTATTTGCAGCAGACTGCAGAAAAGTTTAGATATTTTCTCTTCTTATTTTCAAAAATGGAAGATTTCTCCCAACGCTTCCAAAACTCAACTTATAATATTTCCACATAAGCCTAGAGCTTCGTTTTTGAAACCTAGTAGTAGTCACATAGTCACTATGAACGGAGTTCCAATTTCCTGGTCAAACCAAGTGAAATATCTTGGATTAATACTTGACCAAAAATTAACTTTTAAAGATCACATTGAGGGCATTCAAGCCAAATGTATCAAATATATAAAATGTTTGTATCCTCTTATAAACAGGAAATCCAAACTTTGCCTGACGAATAAACTTCTAATATTTAAACAAGTTTTTAGACCGGCCATGCTTTACGCTGTACCAATATGGTCTAGTTGCTGCACTACCAGGAAAAAAGCACTTCAAAGGATTCAGAACAAAATTCTGAAAATGATTTTGAAGTTGCCTCCCTGGTACAGTACAACCGAAGTACATAGAATTTCGAATGTTGAGACTTTAGCACAAATGTCCAACAAAATAATTAATAATTTCAGGCAAAAGTCGTTGCAATCCTCAATTGCACGATTAATTCCCTTTATACTTAGATAAGATTAGTTTTAGTTTTTAGTTTTAAGATATCAATTGTTATACTGACATGCAGGTTAAAAAACCTGTTTAAAATACTGAATAGCCAAGACATGAACAATGTAAAAACACTTAGATATATATCATAACAATTAAGGCTGGTACGTTACTGCAGTAACTGGAGCACCTAGGTTAAAATGAAATGTAATTTATTTTGAATTTGGAACAAATAAAGAGTTAAAAAAAAAAAAAAAAAAGGCGCAAATGACAACGACCGTTACGGTTGCTCTTAAGACGGCCTACCGATAATTACCGATAAATGTTTTGAGAAGCTACCGATAATGAAAAAAAATAATCTGGCCACCCTGGTCCTGACGAACTTCCCTCATATGCCCTAGATCGAGATATTCCTGTATGAAAGAATTGTACTGCTTACGCATCTCTGGATTCCGTTATGACTGCTTCTCCAGCCATAAAAAAAACATGTAAGTGCCATTGATCTGGAGTCACCCAACATCGGTGCGAAGTTAACATGCTTTGGCAAGCGAACAACGTAGCGCCCCTCCTCCATTCTGGTAACTGTTTTCACGAAATGTTCTTGTTCAATGTTCCCTCAGTACAACAGTAGCCTAGAAAACGCTTGATGTTGTTCCACCTTAGTCCCTACGTTGTATGTTCCTACCGTTTCCCGCTTTTCCGCGTCCTCTTGTCTGATTCTTCGTCGTTTGCAAGTCCCCGGCAGGATGACAGATAACCTTATTTTCACGTACCCACTTGCAAACAGTAGATGTCGCCACACAACGTAAACAAAGGGTTTGTTTCACCATGTGTGGATGTCAAACAACAGGCAAGAATGCCATATGAAAAGAGCGAATTCATGAATTTCGTGGTGAAATTCAATAAATCCATACAAATTGAACCGATTGAATGAGTTTCATCTTATATCATCGAATGGCAATCAAAATACTTTGATTTCTTCAGTTCTATTTTGCTCTTGAATTTGAACAGCCTTCAGAATATTGCTTTGAACATAGTTGTGCAATGAAGGTTTACTTTCCCGTGTTTCTCCTACGGGATAAGTAAAGTAAACGGCTGAAATTGACCTTCGACAGACGAACAAACTACACCGTTGTACTATCGTTGTACTCTTTTAAGCTAGTAACTCAAATTGTACATTATGCAGTACTAGCTGCACAAGTTTGTCGGATTAGCCAGAGGATACTGTAATAAGTACGCTCTTACTTGCTGAAAACCCATTCTTTCTTTGTTCATCAACTTTTTTTCATTTTTTTGGTGACAGTCGTTCATACTTTTACTAGAGTACTGTAGTCGAAATCACCGAAAGTATTATCGCTCAATTCTCATTTGTTTCGATTAACTCGATGACAACCACATATTTTCGATTTACAAATCATATGTTTAAGCTTTTGGTTCTGTTCTGCTCAAAGACATACGAGATTACATAAAAAAAAATCATTAACTGATTATGAATTGTGCATACGACTGAATATCAAAATGACTGGACTTCCTATGTCGCTGATGTTAATTTTGACGTCGTACTTCACGTGTATCACACGCGCGTTCTGGTTTGGTGGGTGAATTTTAAACTTGCAATTCATTTACGATACATAATTTCCGCACTCGTCCTATTCAGATAACACTTCTGAAAACTTGTGAGTTTGACAGAACCACCAGAACCACACGGGAAATATACTGGAGTTGTCAAGTTGCCCCCGGGTTGGTCGTTTGTAACCTAATTTGACGATAACGCCTTTCTATAACCCTGCTTAGTTGATTTTCCAAAAGGAGTTGAGAACCGCTTCCGCCACCACTTTTGCTCAGAGGGAATCAACGAATTGTGTTTCTTTCCGCAGTCGCGCGCGATAGCTGTACTTTGAACTGAATCCTCGGAACCAATTCCCGGATTTAAAATAGTTGCTGCACAATCGCTTGCTGTTCACGAACTGCAGCTTTTCTTTCAAAGTCATCGTCGTAAATTTTCCACATCGACCCAAGTAATGGTTATCTCCACAATAGCAGCAGCTTAGAACATCTCTCTCGTTCTCTGTAGCAGCATGAGCTACCACTTTCTGGCGCCTGACCTCAGTCTTCTGTCAACCGCTCCTTGATTCGACAGCATTCTATGAAACCGCGTCTAGCACCCTTGTCCTCTTCTCCAAAAACTCCACCAAGAAGGCGAAAGTTGGATCCTCAGTTGAAGCAGCGTGGTCTTCCCAAAGTTGAAAAGTTTCGAGCGAACCCGCGATCACCATGTCGTTGTTGCAACAAAACTCTGCAAGCAGCTCGCCGTTCTCGCTCATATCTCCGAGACCATGGCGTCCCATAATGCACTCATAGTCCGAGTTGTCGGAGCCGATATTCGCATTGAAGTCGCCTGTGTAGATCTTGATATCACCTCTTGGAGTCTTATCCACGACAGCATTCAGTTGACTGTAAAAGTTCTCGTTGTCCTGCAATTCGGCAGCATCGGTTGGCGCATAACATTGGATTATGGTAATTTTCTGGCAACGATTATTCTCTCATTGATAGGTTCCTACTTGATGAGCGCAGCCTGTGCTTGGGCGCTAAGCAGAAAGCCAACTCCACTATGAGAGCTCTTTCACTTCGCAAGTCCCAGGATTTCTAGCTTCATACAGCGGGCCTCACTGGCGAGTTGTGCTAGTTTACCCTGTTGGGCTAGCGTCAGTACATTCCATGTTCCAATTCTTGTCCGTTGCTTAGCGCTAAAAGTCGTTGCCATAAAATCAGTTTGTAATCTTTCACTATAGGTTTCTATAACAATCTGAAGGTTTCGGAGATAGTTGGTGGATGGCCTAAGGTCTCCTATCCGCCGTGATGGGACTGCCATCTTTGGTATAGCTTTCGGGGAGAAGCATTTCGTATTCAGCCACATCCTCCGAAAAGGATGTAGCTCCCCCTTCCCTGTCAGCATACGACCAAAGCCGGGTCTATTTTATAACCTTTAAGTACGCGAAGTACCGGTGGTACGCATTATCCCAGTCATTTGCCAGCCAACGACAAAATATTGCAGCCTTTTAAAAGTTACTCATTTTCTTGTTGCTGATGATGTACCTACAGACGTATTTGAATTAAATTTGTTTTTGTTTTGTTTCAGGCCAATGGCGAGGATTTACTAGGTCTAAAAATTGTTGACATCGCGAAACGAGTCAGAAATGGAAAAACAAACGCAAAACCTGCACCAGGTGTTAATTTGATGCTGTGGAATTCTGGATTTGAAAAAAATGTAAGTTTGTATCTTTAATTTACTACACAGGTAATCAATTCATTTCCATCTGTATTATATAACACATTGAGCAGCTTAGTTGTCTCTTGATCAACGCCAATAAATTGAAAGTTGTTACTAACACGTATGTAGCGATTGAATTGTAGCAGTATCAACACTAGATGCCTACAGCTGTGTGTTTATTATTCTGAGATAATTACGAATGCAGGAAGTAACCGCGCGCGACTTACAAGTACCGTAATCCGGGGGCAAATTGATCACTTGGGTGAAATTGGACAAAATGTCTTGCGTTTCAGCTGTCCCGATAATAGATGAGGGAAATGGATGAAATGTCGGCCTAAATGCCCCTAATTTGGGCCAATAGATAAATTCAGCAATCGACTGAATTTTCAATAGCGACAAAAATATCCATTAGTACCGTCCCAATGACGCGTTCATTTAGATAAAATTGATAAAAGGCAGATTTTTAGCGATGGGCCCAATCTTAGAGTCATTTCCCCTATCATGAGAAATCTTGATAGTATTTCATAAAGGGATTCTAGTGATTGTTTTTATGTAGTTTTCTCAATAAGAAAGTGTTTTTCACTGCATAATTTTAAATTTTATTTTACTGGCATTCAATAGCTTACAATATCATCATTCAAACAAACAATTAAAGGGCTGCATCGAAGATTGTCATTAGGATTGGTGATTAAATTTAGTGTCACCTGAAGTTGAAATATTAAAACATTTATGAAAAAAAAAAAGATTCCAATGCCAAGAAATTCGAGGATTTTCGACAAATTTCTTATTATTTTAAAGAAATTGCTTGCATTTAGGCGCAACTGTATATTTTAAGAAATATATTTTGGAATTTTTGCTTGAAATACACTTCACACAAGGATTCTAACGTCTGATTCGGTTTCAGGTAGCACGCATTTATAAAGCACATTCATTATAACTGCATTGGGAAGCTATTTTTAGGGTTAATCAATTTCACCCCATATTGAAATTATCATATTTCTTAAAAATCATCAAAACATTCAATATTATAAGTAGTTATGTAGAACGATTGAGTCCTCAGCCCTGCTGATTTAATTAGCATTAGTTGATCAATGTCCTTTTTGTAGAAATTTATTTCGATATTTTCGATCAATTTTACCCCGGTTCACGGCACTTGTTAGTTCTCCATAAATAACAGTCATAGAAGATGTCTCCAGTAAAATGGATTGATTATTTTCATAAGTTCTATAATTTTTTTTTAAATAAACACGTTTAATGACTTGACAATAATATAATTCCAGAACCTCAATCCACAATCACTGTCACGATTTGCAAGCTGTCTTCAGAGCATAGCAGGATTGCTAGAATGTCCAGTGTGTTTAGACATCATCCGACCTCCCTCGTGGCAGTGCTGTCATGGACATCTCATATGTTCTGGATGTCGATCGAAGAGCACCAAATGTCCAATCTGCCGGGTAGTACTAGGCCGGGGACGATGCATAGTTGCTGACAAGTTATTTAATTTCCTTGTGCAAACCCTTGGGCAGCATGATGGTAATTTCCGCACAATATGTTTTACCAGTTTTCATCCTTTGAACCATTAAATTTGAAACGATGAGCTTTTTACAATGAACTGAACACACCACAATGTGTTGAGTGCATTGGATGGAAATAATGATGAAAATTTCCAACAAAAAGCGCATCACTTGATTGGATGCACTAAATTGTTCTAACAGCAGTCTGAAATATTATCCTCTCATGTTTACATATTTCTAAAAGTACAACCAATGATGTCAGTTTTACCTCTCGTTTGCAGGTGAGAAACGTCCAGCAGGTCAAAAGTCATCTAATTTACAGCAAATAAGCGCTAGACTACCGTTGCTTTCACGCGACCATCGTCTATGCAAACAGTCGTTAAAATTAAAAGCAAATACCTGTGCAACCACCAATGTCGGCCTAACAGCACATAGGATCGCAAAACTGACACCATCATCGGTCCCGCTGCTTCTCCAATATTGTTGTCCTTCCGGACAGCCGTGTGGTAAAATGAAAAATCAACATGACATATTAATTCATTTGCAGAAATCACATCAAACGAGTGTCGTTCAGTATTATGCAGCCACTGGCGACCAACTTAGTATTAATTTCAACGAATCCTGTGTAACGTGTATCGTCCTAGTACCAGAATGCACAACTGGCGAAGAGGACTATAACAAAAACAGCTCAGGGCACAAGAATAGTTTTAATGGTAATTGTGTAAATGATAGCAACAAATTGATATCAACTGCCGTCTCTGAGGAAAATGCATATTTTTTCCTTGCTAAATTTCGGTGCATTGAAGCCAGTAGCCAGGCTCTGTATTGGCTTTGGCACCTCGGAACACAGGAAGCAACAGACCGTTACGTGGTAACGGTTTCGGATTCACATAGTAAAATCAGCTGGAGTGGAAGGCCGGTATCTATGCGGCAAAACTGCAAAGAAGTTCTCAAATCAAAACAATTTGTTAAACTGGAATACGTTGCGAAGGGACTGAATGTTAGAATTGAATTAGATAACTGAATTTGCAACTGATTGGCATTTTTTTTTATCTACTCATAACTATGTTAATATAAGTTGATGACAGCCTTATTTGATAATTGGTTTCTGGGGTAAATCAGCAGATTATCAGCAAACATTTTCAAGAGTATGTTTCGATGTATAATTGATCTCAAAAGGTAAGTAAGGTTATGTGACAAATCGAGTTTGAAATCGTTTAAAATTTCGTATAGCGCCACTTAATATCGCAAACAATTATAATCTTCGTCGTAAATGCGTAAAATAGTGTAAGATACACCCCCGGGGAAAAACGACTGTCGGGAGTTTAAAACATATGTTTAACCTCTTTTTCGAGGAACTACATGATAAATCCGCAAAAATATGTTAAAAATTTATTAAAAATTTACAAAAAGTCATCTAGGCCTCCATTTCAAGGCAAAAACGCCCCTATTAATATTTTACAACAGTTCATAGTGGTCCAGAGTGGGAATTTTGCAGGGAAGTAGTCGTGGATCTTTTGTTGTAATACTTAGCGCACTGAACATAACATTTAGTTTATACAACGAAATCGTTCCTTTGGGGGCAACGACAATTTAGATAAAAATAAAATAAACTGTGTCTCTAGTCATCGTTGCATGTACAAAGGAATTTCATACAAGCACACTTTAAGTTTTCAATTCCACAAATGATTTACACTAATAATTTTAAGCCTCCACATTATTGATGTGAAAAAATGCAGTTAGTTGAAAAAATTGAACATCACATCATCGACATCACATGGTTGGATTCACGCACGCTCTCTCGTCAGGTGTTCGGCGACGATTATGAAGTTTTCCGTTGCGATAGGAATGCTGCTAATAGTCGGAAAGTTAAAGGTGGAGGTGTTTTAGTGGCTATAAATTCTAGGTTTAGAGCGAGGTTACTAGAAAAGTATGCTTGGAAATGCTTAGAGCAGGTGTGGACGTCGATTAAACTGGGCGATCGTACCTTGTTTCTCTGTGCGGTTTACTTTCATCCCGACCGTATACGGGAGCGTGACCTCATCGAAACCCATTGCCAATCGGTTTTCTCTGTTTTGTATACCGCCAAAGCAACCGATGAAGTTATTGTGTTTGGTGACTTCAATCTCCCGGGGATTTCATGGAAAAAAAACTCGCAACGGCTTCCTCTCTCCTGACAAGAATCACTCTGTCATCCATTCCTACGCTTCGCTCCTTCTGGACAATTACAGCTCAGCCACTCTTTCTCAAATCAACCATGTTATTAACCAGAACAACCGCAGTTTGGATCTTTGTTTTGTAAGCGCCCAGGACATGGCTCCTTTCTTATGCGAGGCGCCCACTCCTCTGGTGAGACTGGATCGTCACCACCCGCCGCTACTGGTGACAATAAGTACTAAGCTGATGCATGATTTTAATATTTCACCACCGACCATGGTAGTATCGGCGAGTTACTCTCCAATTTAGATTGTGACGACTTATTGCACACCGTTGACATTGAGTCCGCCGCTCAAACTATTTCCAATGTTTTGGCATATATCATTGACAGACACGTTCCGAAAAACATTCATCATCATACGACCCATCCACCATGGCATATGAGCGAATTTCGTCGACTGAAATCCAGAAAGAGAGCCGCTCTTAGGAAGTTCACCAAGCACCGCACACTATCCCTTCAACGTCACTATGTCAGGATCAATCACGCATACAAACGAGTTGCGAAACAGTGCTTTCTTCAGTATCGACGTGGATTGCAGAGAAAACTTAAGTCACGTCCCAAGCAGTTTTGGAAGTATGTCAACAAACAATGTCATGAAGCAGGTCTTTTTTTTATACAGGGGGGAATCTGCTCCCAGACACCTGAGAAGATAACTCAGGGTGTGGGGATGGGAGAAGTAGCACTCCCGACCCACTAAACCTTACCCTGTGCTCTAGGTCCTTGCCCTCCCCGGAACCACCCGAAAGCATTACGTCATGGGAGGGGGCCGGTTGCACTATGGTGCATCACTAAATGTTGTGTCAGACGTGACACTTGCTACTGCACAGTGAGCAACTGTGCAGGGCCTTCCTCTTGTTGTTCACTGTTAGTTGTGCACCTGAGTTCTAGAGCAGACGTGATAGCCAGCCAACTGTCCAGGGCCAAACAGGACAGATGTGACCGCTTACCAGCTGCGTGCGCTAAGCACTCTAAGAACCCGGTGTCACTCCTGCCTTTGCACAACGAGGATTTGTGCAGGGCTTATCAACCTTCTGGGACGAGCTGGATGGGGTTCCAGCGTCCTTACTCTGCGGTAGTTTGTTTAGCCGCAATATCTCTCCCTTGGGTTCGATAATTAACGTTTCCAGGGCACACCACGAGGAGGCGAACTACTTCATGCCCCAGCTGGTCTGCCGTCGTCTATGACACATAACGGTAACGTGGCCTCATATACGCAAGATATCTGTCAGCTGTTCTCTGAAAAATTTGCTAGTGTCTTCACGGACGAGAGACTGAGTGACTACCATGCCCGACTGGCTGCCAGTTATGTACCACTCTCTGGCCAAACCATGAGCAGAATTGACATCCGAATTGTTTTTCAGGGCTTCCTCGAAACTCAAGTCGTCGTACAATCCGGGTCCTGACGGAATTCCATCGGCGTTCCTCAAAACGCACTTGGACAGTTTGTTGTCTCCACTGCTGCACGTTTTTCAACGGTCTGTGGACGTCGGAGTTTTTCCATCCTATTGGAAGCTAGCGCACATGTTTCCAGTACATAAAAAAGGCAACAAACAGGACGTTGGCAACTACCGTGGCATTACTTCGCTTAGCGCTGTTGCTAAATTATTCGAACTCGTTGTTATGGAACCGTTACTCGCTCACTGTAAGCCGTATATTAGTATCGACCAGCATGGTTTCATGGCTGGTCGCTCCACTGCCACTAACTTGCTGTGCCTTACTTCCTACATCTCTAACAGTATGTCGGATCGTGCTCAGACGGATGTCATTTATACTGACTTATCTGCTGCCTTCGATAAATTGAATCACCGCATATCAATCGCTAAACTGGACAGGCTTGGTATCCACAGATGCCTTTTGCAATGGTTTCAGTCGCACCTCACCGATCGCTATCTTACTGTTGTCATACGTTCGCTGCCACATCCGGCATACCTCAGGGTAGTCACCTGGGACCGCTGATTTTCCTGATTTATTTCAATGACGTGAATCTGGTAATTGAGGGACCACGATTATCTTACGCAGATGACCTTAAACTCTACCTCCGAATTCACTCAATTGAAGACTGTTGCTTCCTTCAACGTCAACTGAATGCTTTTGCTGATTGGTGTATTCTGAATCGTATGGAGGTTAACCCGTCCAAATGCTCGGTTATCTCTTTTTCGCGCAAGAAAGAGACTATTATGTTCAAGTATGTTTTGTTAGGCACTGAAATTGAGCGCGTCAGCCAAATTAAGGACCTAGGCGTGATTCTGGATACAAAACTCTTTATCAAGCAGCACATCTCGCACGCCGTCGACAAAGCTTCCAGAATTCTAGGGTTTATCTTCAGGATTGCCAAAGACTTCACGGATATCTACTGCCTTAAATCATTGTACTGCTCCTTGTCTCGCTCCATATTAGAATACTGCTCGGTTGTCTGGACTCCTCACTACAACAACGGTTCAGTGACGGTTCCTGAGATATGCGCTACGTAAACTGCCGTGGACGGATCCCTTCCGATTGCCTAGCTACGAAAGTCGTTTGCAACTGATCCATCTGGAGCGCCTGTCGGTCCGAAGAGATACAGCAAGGGCATTGCTAATTGCGGATATTTTGCAAGGACGAACCGATTGCCCTGTCCTCCTTGAGCAAATTGACATCAATGTTCAACCCCGAGCCCTACGGAATAATTCAATGCTGCGCCTGCCCATACAGCGAACTAATTATAGCATGTTCGGTGCAATCGGTGGTTTACAGAGACTCTTCAATAGGGTCTCCGCACTGTTTGATTTTTACCTGACTCGCCAACTGCTTCGCCGGAGGTTTAGTTCATTTTTTTCTAGATCAGTTTAGTTTGTTTAGTAATGTTCCTTTTTTTACGAGATGACTATCTATGTACTTATTGATGTTTTGTTTTAGTACTTTTCATGTTTAGTTTAAGTTACATCATTGGGGCAAATAACGCCTGTTGATGTTCAGTCATATAAATAAATAAATAAATAGCATATTAATGGCCACAGTCGACCTTGCTCGTTCATAATAAACAGCAGTATGAATTTCCGATACCTAGACTCACTCTCATCGCTCATTGCTGGTGATATAGGGTAAACCATGTAACCCTCGTCTAGGGTGACAATTAATAACCCACCCTTTTAACATGTTTGCCATGAGCGTGTGTCTTGTCTGTTATGATTTGTTTTTGTTTTGATCGCACGCTCGGCAACATACTCACCACTGCTTTATTTGTAAATATTTTAATTTGTTATTTTCTTAGTAGATTTTATTCGTGTAGGCATGTTTTTAGGATTAGAATGTAGTGTAAAAATTATCGATTGATTTTGTATCGCGTTTAGTATAAAATTAGGTCCCGTTTCTCCTCTCGCTGCAAAAGAAGGTGAAAAACATAAGCAGCACAACATTCGAGCGCGGTTGCAGGAGAACGATGGCGGTTGTTGTATTGTCCGTGATTGACAGGTAGTACGGAAAGGAAAGAAAAGTTACGAACCACGGTTGGAATACGACGCGTTTTATTTGCCTCGTCCGTTTTAGTGAAAACGTGACAACTTCCTGAGTGCCGTTTTCGTGGCGTGTGTCCGCTGGAAAGATAATTCCCAGCATCGTCGCGTGGAAGTGACGTCGTTTCCCCGAAAAGTGCCGTGGTTCGTGACCAGAAGCGAAGGGTATCGGATCGCCGCCAAGGGAAGCTAAATTTAAAGGATTTTTTCCGCTTCCCGGCTAAGCCCCAAGGATCCCCGAACACCCACCGTCCTCACTGCGGTGGCTCAGCTAGTAGAGCCAGTCTCGCCACCGCAGTTAAGAGCCAAGGAGAG